TCTAGCATTAATAATGTAGGCATTGAAAGTTTCTCCCATATTATTAGTAGTGGCATCAATCTTTACAGATGGATCTAGGTATGTCCTACAGAACAAGTTAGGGTTATACCTCCTAAAAGCGAGGGCAACATTTGTATTCAATTGAGTCAAGTCATCAATTGCATCATTAAGTCAGCCAAGTTGTATGACTTGGCAATCTTCTAAAATAACAGCTTCACCTCATCACCCTTGTATGTCCAGTGCCAGTGGGGAAAAATATTCCTAGCACAGTGCCTGTGCTCTGCTTTTGGAAGCACAACATCCACATCATGTAATATAGCCTGCAAGCATTCAGAAATAAGATAAGTCAGGCATGCAACACACAAAGTAAGCCAAGAAAACAACATAGTACAGAACGGAATTAAAAAACAAAGACAAACCTGATGTTCATCAGAGATGATTGCAACTCCACTCCCTTCTCCAAGATCTAGGCAGGATTGCAAGTGTGTAAAGAACCAGACCCAAGAAAAGTTGTTCTCCTCATCAACAACAACCCAACATATTGGGTACATCTGGTCATTAGGGTCCTTTCCTACTACAGTCATACCTGACCTCCCAAAAATGTTTTAAGGAAGGCAGCATCAACACATATCACCCTCCTACATCCTGTCTTCCAGCCTTCCTTGACTCCATCAAAAATAGGTGAAAAGCCTTTTGAACATTGGTGTTGATATGCTTGGCGGTGGATTAATTACCAATTCTAACATTGTCCCAGGGCTTGCAAGCCTCAAAGCCTCAATGTACCTCTCCACTTTCATGTAATGTTCCTTCATTAAACCATGAAGCATCCTATATGCATGATACTTTACCTTATATGCAAAGTCCCTCATCACAATCACTCTGTAAGCTCCTCTTATAGTTTCAATTATCTCCTTAGCTGGTCAATGTGGCCTTGCTTTGAACACCTCAAGCCTCTGACTTGCCACCCAAGTGGACTTAAGCTGCCTATTTTTGTTCATGTTTCTGTGGCATGTATGAGATCCAACCACTCTCTTAACTAACTAAGTTGCATCCTTGGAATGCATAGAGAAATACACATAAAAAGGACAACTTCCTACACACTTCACTCCTAGTTGTTGTTAGTCCTTGTTGCTAATGATGTACCTCAAATCCCTCCCCTACATCACTACATACTTACTCATTACTTCCTTAAAATCTCCTCTATTTGCAAACCTCTAGCCCACCTTCCAGATGAATTTGCTGAAATTAGTGTCTCTCTTAACTAATTCACCCTTCTTTGGCTTGTTACTACCTTCAGCCTCATCCTCACTTACAGTTGGAGTGTTAATATCCTCCTCACTGTCCTCAACATCACTGTTGAAACCCCCAAGTGATGTTGTGCTAACTATGGTTGGTATATTCTTAGGCTAATTACCCATATTCCTTTCACAAGCTTCTTTTTGCAACTGTTGAGCTATGTCAACCAACTTTGAATTGTAATTATTCACTCTGTCTCTTGCTTCTCTACATTCATCATCACTGTCATCAGATTCACCTTGAATGAACTCAGTTGCTTCTATTGCTCTGTTAGCTATACTGGATCTACTTCAACCTCTAGATCTATATCTTCTAGCCTGAAATCTCCCTCTACTAGACTAGCATTTGCAACATATTCATCATCTTCCTCATCTTCATACTCATACCCCTCATAGAACTTTTGATACTCCAGATCAAATTCAGGATCTTCATCCTTACTAGACCCCTCACCATCAGGTAACAGTTCATTCCACTTCAAAGGGCTTTCAGGTCTATTATCCTCCCACTCATAATCATTAAGAAACCGTGAGCATATGTTAGCCAAATCAGCTGTGGATGAGTTTATGTTTGGCAAATCAGCTGTGGATATAAACTCTAGTGTAGGAAATTGAGAAAGAGGGTTTTGAGAAGGGCTTTCAGAGGGGGGGGGGGGCTCAATTTGTTTCTCTCTCAGATTTGCTTTTAAGGCTTTATCTTGGGTGGTTAGTTCAGTCAAAGATGGGTATGAAAGAGCATATCTTGAAATAGATTTAGGTGTGGGGGAAGCAACATTTAAAGTTGATGTGTAAGGTACTTTAGGGGTCGATGTGGAAGCATCTTTGTGTTTCCTAGGGCTTCTCCTCGGTACCTCAACCAGTTTTGTTTGTGGTCCCTTCTTTGGGGTCATCTTTTTCCTTTTATTGACTTTTGGGGGAGGTGGATTTTCTTCTTCTTTTTCAGCTGTTAGAGAAGGGATTTGGTTTGGGATTGGGTTTGACACTTGTTTCACAATAGGTGGCTCAAGTGGTGACAAATTAGGGGGCTCATCATAGTGTAGGAAATAATAGTCCACATACCTAGTTTTTTTTGGCAATCTCAATCAATTCAAGCACTTTTATATCTCCATCTATTCTCCTCAACCCATTCTCCAAACTCAGCCCTGGAACTAAGTAATTCATTCCAGCCACAGATATATACCCACACTTATTAGCATACTCAAGCATCTCCCAGTAACACAACAAATCAGGGTCCATAATAAAATTCCTTCCATTTCCCCTACATACACCAACTCACCATTACGAACTATTTTAAAAGAACCACCATGCCAGAACCAAATTGTCACATTGTCAAAAAAGGTTGACATTTTAACATATACAATGTAATTATGTTACAAACATCAAATTACTTTCTTTATCACTAATATAAGCATTTCAACATCAACATCATTAATTTAACCTTAGCAATTCAACATCAAGCCCTACACTAACACACTAGTAATTTTACCTTAGAATTCAACATCAAGCCCTACACTAACACACCGCAATCAATTCCAAAGTGAAAAAACAACAATTTAAAAAAAAAATTACATGAAATTGAATTTAAAAACCTAGAAATTTAACAAATTTCACAAATCGTAACATCGCATTGATCATTACCAAAACTGGAAAGCTTGATTAGGGGTGAATTCTGTACCTTTTTTGCGTAATTTGGGGACCAAAGACTAGAACTTTAACTTCTTCTCTTCACTAGAACGTCGTTTTCAATTAGGTGGGGTTGGTTTGCACAATTGATTGAAGATCTGGCAATTTGGTTGAGGCATCTTTAATGGAGAGTACAGAGTAGGAGGGAGACAAAAAGTAAAAGAGAGGGAAAAGAATTAAAGAGGGAAACCGGTAGTTGGGGGAAATAAACACCACGTAGGCTTCCTTAGGAGGGAAATGAAAGTCAATGCTTGACTTTCTCCCAAACACCAAGTCACAGTCGGTCACTAGTCATTTGTTCTATTTATGGAAGAAGTGCATCAAAGGTCATGTTATTTTGGAATAAATCAAAGGTTGTTTTATTTTTGGAAGATGGTTGAAAGCTCATGCTATTCTTGACAATTTTTCCTTATTAATATCTAGAATAGTCCTATCTACTTGTCTGGCAACCGCTTGTTGAGAATTGGAGCCAAAATTTCTTAACTCACCAGTTAACTCTAGCGGTTTCTTCCACCATGACACGATAGTAGTTGTCAAACTGCTCTATAATATTTTCTATTAAATCTTCTATCATATTTTTTACATTATTTACATATTTCGTATATATAGTATTGAGTAAATTTCTGGTGGGAGAATGACTTTCTCCTTTGTTGAGAACTAACTCCTCTTTCCTTTGTGTTTGAGGCTCGAGTTGTTCAAAAGACTGTACCATATACTTCGTATTCAGTTTGTAGTTGGTTTTCTAGATTTTGTTGATCCTTTAAAACGGTTTCAGGATTGTATTTAGATGAATTAGCATCTTCGTGAATGTTTCCTTTATGTGCTGAATGCTTAGGTGCCATGGGAAAACTTTTAAATACTCAGAGTTAAATGGATTTAATTTAATGTCATGTTCTCCCACTGTGGTCGTTAAAAACTTGTTGAGGTAATTATTGTTCTTTTTCAACAAGTCAAGTACCCTATCTTGTTCTAGAGTATTAGGTGGTTGCCACTCTTGTTACCGGTTTTCAAAGATTGATAACCTCACTAACGTAACACAACAAACCAGTAAGGAAGTTTCCCTCAAAGAAGTTAAACAAGTTAGATTGCAAAAGAAACGAGTAGATAAGCATATGACAAAATATGCAAATGTTTTACATTAATTGAAAGATAAAGTCAGGGCTACAGTTTACAAGTTGAATGAGAGGTTACCTCTATGTTCATACAATTGGAAAGGGCGATTGATCTTCAATACATGCTAAGAAACTAAATTATTGTTTGGCTACTAAGCCAAGGAAATCTAAGGAAGCTAAGAAAAAAGCTTATAGAAAATGAAATGCTTTTGTTGATTGATTGTTGATGTCGTTCTCTTGCTCATCCACTTCTATTTATAGACAAATTTAGTGCGGTTTTACCGGTTAACTCCGAAAACCGTTAGAAGGTTATAACTCTTGTGCTAATTCCTCTTTTTAAATTAGAAATGTCATGTTTGATCCGTAACTGGTCTTGTTCTTCTCCTTGGGCCTTTTAACTGGGCCTCATCCATTATCCACACTTTCATTGTTAGACTAAAGCCTTGACAGAATTGTTCACTCTTCCTTGGTCAACAAGTCAAAATTAAAGAAAGTCAAGATTTTTAACTTTGGCTGTAACAAACATAAAGGTCGTCACAAGTGCAAATCTCATCCGTCCCTCCTTTAAGGTGAAATATTAAGTATTGATGGGTATAGTGAGCTCATGCTCCATCCACACTTTTAATCTAGTCATTGATGATTTTGTTAAAAAAAAAAATAGTGATTAATGTACTTTTTTTATTTTTTATTTTAATTAATTATTCATCCCAAAAGAGAGAATATATGTTACTGTTACCATGAACAGACGAACAGTGAGAGTGTATATGCTCCATTGTCCTTATTCTTTCAGTGTATTTGCGATTCTGCCATTCCTTTCATTATTTGCTTTTTTTTTTTTTTTTTTTTTTTTTTTTTTTTTTTTTTTATTAAATGGAAATTACAGAAGAAAGGGAACGACAGAGAGGAGGTGAGACAATGTTCCTTGATTTATGGCATGAGATGGTTTGCATGTGTTTATAGTTTAGGTTTTTTTTTTTTTTTTTTTAATTTTTTTTTTAATTTTTTTTTTTAATTTTTTATAAATTTGGGGTGGAATGTCATTCAAGGTCTGATTTAATTTGGAAGAGGTATATTTGCTCTTTCATTATTTTACACCGTTATTGTGATTTTTGATTTGGATTTTTGTTTATTTACTCCTAATTTTCTCTCTCTTCACTCCAAACGACATTTTTAATCTGCATGTAAGCTTTGCAAATACCTGTAATTCATCTTCATTGTTGAAGATTATGGTGTTGACTTTATCAATTAACTGGTGGTGAAATAGTTTATGAGTTTCGGAAATCGAGGAATAAATTGGGGGAAATTTTTATAGGGTTTTTCGAAGCTATGTTATTGTGATGTCATTAGTTTTATTAATTTGGTGCATAAATGCTCTTTCCCGGGGATATAGGGTTTCGCGTTGCTGTATACTTCAGTTTTTGGGTTTTTCCGGTGGTATTCTTCGTTCTCCGGCGAAAATGGCGGATTGCGGTGGCTAGAGAGCAGGAGATCTATCGATTGCTTGTTTTGGCATCAGAAGAGGCTGCTCGAGCTGAGATTGAGGCTATTTTTCACACAATTAAGGTACAATTTTGTCGCATTTTTCTGTCATTTTGGTTACAATGTCAGATTAATTGGGTTATATGTGTGGGATGAATTGGGTTATTTTTATTGGCTTAAGAAAGAGATATGTGGGATAAAAAAATACTACTTCTATTAAAATCAATTATAAAATCAGAAATTCATATTATACCACATAAATTGGATTACCCATAATAAATTGAGGAAATTTACTGCTAGAGATCTATAAATCGTCATATTAGAGCAGGGTCAGTCAATTAGATTCCAGACCGTGATAGATATTGATGGAACTTTAGCAGATATTTGTTGATTGTGTTGCTCTGATGCTGAGCATTTTTTTTCATCTGTTTCGAAATTTGTGGATAATTTTAAGACATTTAATTTGCTATGTTTTGATAAGTTTATAGTTGAGTATAAGTTTTTAATATGTTTGTGTATTGCGATTATTTGGGCATGTTGTTGTTTTCTTTGATTTTTCAACAATTTTAGCTTGTAAAGTTGCTAATTTTGATGATTAAATTGCTGATTACCCAGATTATTACACAATTGTCGTTTAAAAGTATGGATGCCCAGAGGATTTAAAAAAAAAAGTATATGCCCAGATTATTGTCTAGGAATCTTCCTTTCTTAATGCTTAGTTATTTAATTATTCATAGGCTGAATCTCTTGTCAAAGTTTAGCAAGATATGAGAGATACCAGGTCTCGGTTCTCAAACCGAGATTTCATTTGCTGGAACTTTTGTTGGCAGTGCTATTGCTGCTTAGTTTGCTGAGGTAAATAAAAAAATTCACCATTAATATATTTTCCAATATTTTTATAAATTCATACATATTTTTGTTGTGGAAAAATGGTGTTTAATTTATTTTGTGGTGATTTGAATGTAATATTCTTTGTTATTTTCTTGCTTTATGTTTGATAACCAGAGTCTTTTTAGTGGTTGGCCAGCCAGAAATGGTGAGGCTTTGTAGCTGGGGTTTGGCATCCCTAGCATCTGTTTTCTTACTCTGTTAACATGTATTGTATTTAATTGGTCCTTGGATCTGTTTTGGTTTACTAAAAATGCACTCCTTTCTGTAACTTGTATGGGCATGTGATAGAAGGCTATATAAGCTAAGTTAGCTGAATTTTCTTTCATCAAAAATCTTATTTTATGAGCATAGAGAATGTAGAATCTCACCTTTCATACTTCTAAAAACTGCTTTTTAGAGTAGACATCTTGAATACAGAGTATGTTATAATGGTAGTCCAGCTCTGTTACTTAGGTAGTAGAGGTGTAGTAAAATACTGTTAATGGCATGTGAAATGAATAAGTTTGACATGTGATGATCCTAACCTGCACGAATTATACTAACAAAAGCCCAAAACTTTGTGATCTGATGTCTTTTCAACTGAAAGAAATATTCAATTTTGCCTCAAATTCCCTTAAGTGCTGGTTGATCAATAACTACATAGAATGCTAGCAATTCTGATCTAAAATTAATGGCTTAGTTTTTTTTTATTTTTTTTTAATTTATACATCTGTAGTTTTTGATTCTGTTGTTCCGACTCTTCTGAGTATGTTTATACTTCAATATAAAGTCGTAAGATTTTCTTATTTCTGTTCTGTACTTTATTTGCTTGTTTATAAGTTCTTTAATATCAGCCATTTTCTTGAATGATCATTCAAAGTTTGTTCTGCAGAAATTGATTGGCTTCATTAGCTCCCATGTTCCGTCTATCTGCAAAGTACTCCGTTCTTTATTAGTGTACTGAATTTTTGAATGTGTATTGGGAATTTGGGATTCCTATCCTCGAAACATGCAAAAGTAAGTCCATTAGAGCATTTACTAGGTATCTTTTTTTGCCCTTGCCCATGAATAAATATTTCGTAGTAGCCTCATTAGATCGGCGAGGCCCACTCTTAGTTGTTGTGTATCTTTTTTAATTTATGCTTTAATTAATTGTCGGGGGGATCCTATTTTTGAAACATGCAAAAGTAATTCCGTTAGAGCGTTTAGGTAGATTTTTTCATCTTTTTTGATTTAGGATTTAATTGGTTATGTTGATTTTTGATAGAGAGCCAATTGCAAGGGCACTTAAACAGGGTAAGGCTAGCAAGAAGAGAGCAAGACCTGGTGAAAGTTATAGGTCTCGGCCTAGAATAGGCAGTTTATCCAAGATTAGATTAAAGAGATTCAAGAGCTTGTGCCCAATGTAGCAAAGGTATGTCTCCAGTGCAGTTGTGGAAAGTAGTGCTTTTAGATGATCCCTCTTAATTTTTTTTTTTTTTTTTTGTTAACATATATTGATATGATCCCTCTTAATTTTGCATTGTATCATTGATTCACTGCCGGAGCAGACAATCGAACATGTGGTTTTCATGCAGAATGTTACAGATAGCACCATAACTTTCTTTGTTTTGTTCGTTGTTTCTTTTAAATCTCTCTGTTGATCTCTTGGTTTTCAAGTTGGTTCAGGAGATTAATTATTAAGTATGAAATTTGATATCAAAGATGTATATCGGCTCTGAGCACATAAGTTAATATATGTTGGTGTTTGCCAGATTAGCGAGTTCAAGCTCGAAAAATTCTGAAAAGTCAAAGAGTTCAGGCTCTTCACTCTTTTGTAGGGTGTACTGTAAAACATCAACCTCAGAATGTGCAACCTCACCGATCTAATGAGATAGTGAGTTTTATTAAGAGACTAAAAATTTGCACAACTATGGACTATTGAGAGAAAACAAGAAAGAGTGGGAAGGGGAAGGAGAGGAGGGAAGCAAATAGGAATTGACTTGATAAAATTTGTAATATAATATAAAAGACAAAGAGGGAGAGAGGATGGGAGACAAAGAGGGTAGGAAAAAGTGAGCAGTTTCAAGGGACCATTCTAATGTCTTAGACATGTAAGTAAGTAAGAAGAAACTTTCTCATCTCACATAACCATAAAAGACAAGGAGAGGAAAAGGGAGTGGGGGAGCAAGCAGTACGGGCATATAAATTTTTCGAAGCTAGAAAGAGAAAGAGGGGGTAGGGGGGAGAGGAAAAGTGAAAGGGATAAAGAGAAGAGGGCAAGGCTGCGAAGGAGCCGGGGGAGAATGTGAAGGTAAAATTTAGAAAAAGAGGATGCAAGAGTTTGTTCAACTTAATGAATTTTTCAACTTGAGTAACTTTTGATTTTCTATTGTGCTGTTGTTTATATTGTGCTATATCTATGATCAAGTTATATGCTCCATAGTCTATACTCTCAATGGATCGGAATTATCTGATATATTAAAGACAAGAGAAGTGAATCCTCAAAATTGTTACAATATCACTGTTTCTTAATCTTCTGTTTAGCCATCCTCACAAATTTTGATTTTTCCATACCTCTGTGTAAATAACCTACTATTGGTTCACAGTCGATAACATCTTCACCGTCTAAAGTACCGATGAGTCAGAGAACACCATGCATTGATGGATGGTGAGGGCCCATATTGACTATCATGAAGTCTTTTCTGGTAGTTGGTACAGTCATAGGTTTTTCTCCGATTCATTCTTTCACAAATTCATTTTTGCAACTAATGGTATCACCAGCTGTAAAAGCTTTTCTAACAAAGGCATAAAGTTTGTGACAGTTTGTGTGTGGTATGAAAAGAAGACATGCATGATCACCCTTTTTGGTTTGAAAAGGGCTCGTAAAAAGGATTGCTGCTATCCTAGAGCCGGCTGATGAAATTGGATAAATAGGTAAATGGTGATATCAATGAGGAAGAGATCACTTAAGAGGCAGGAGATATAGGTGAGCTTCTGATTTCTCCATTGGTGTCTGGTCTTTGTTGTCCATGCCTGATGCCTGCAAATTTCACTAAAAGGATTTTTCTAAAATCTGAATATCTTTTTTGTTTGTTTTTCTCAAGTGTGTTTAAAAGTAACAAATTTATCAAGTGACTCAATGAGTTGGAGTCCATTACACTTTTAATTCTAACCCTTCATCAATCAATATGTTAAATTAGATTTTTTTGTTTTTTTGGAGCTTTTTGAAAAAATTCTATTCTAAATGTTATGTAGAATCATTTATGAGTATTCACCTAATAAATTGTAACTTGATTAACTAGGTAAACTCCTAGGGTTTTCATAACATATGAGAATCTAGAGGAAAAAATGCAAGGGAGAAGGAGAGGGTGTCTGTTAGGGATAAGGATATAAAAAGAGATTGAGAGTATGAAGTAGTAAATTTTAAAATGGCAACGGTTCGAACTTATTTCTTAAGAGAGTCCATAATTGCTTTCTATATAAAACCTTGTTAAGAATTATTTTGTTAAGATTGTTTTATGTAGAATTCGCAGTAACTGGTTTACACTTAATCAACAATGGTTCTATATAAACACGTCTTTTAATAGTTGGCTGAGAAAATAGTTATATATGAACACATGTAGGGATCCAACACATATTTCTGTTGGTGCTGCATAGGTGTTGTAATGCCCTGTTACTCTAGCTTTGGGACTTTCAGTGCTTTCTTTGGGGCACTTGATTACTTAAGTATCTTGTTTGGACTTTGGAATAACCTTGGTGAACAAAGTAAATTGTACTCATATACTTAATGGTGCTAATTGCCGTTTGTATCCTTCATGTCCTGGATCAAATTGCCTGCATGCTTACTCTTTTTTGCCTTTTTTTTTTCCCAATATTTTTTTGGAATATACACCATTATTCACTGTATAGTATGTTCTAAGACTTTTGACTAAGGAATGCTTCTTGAATGCACAGTTGAGAGAATTTGAAGAGAGTAATGAAACATACCAATTAATTAAACAAGATTCAGCTATTCAAGAGGCACATTTATGGAAGATTGAGCTTGGGAAGGCTAGAGAACGTAATGTAATATTAGAAGGTTGTGAGAGCAGAGAAGGGTGAGGATTACAAAAATGGATTTTGAAACCAGGATAAAAGAAGCACAGAAGGAATCAACAGCTTTGCAAATGCTCATTATATTTCAACTTTTGGATGTTTCACTATATACTACTTCATGTATCCCCCAAATTTTAAACTTCATCCTAACTAATTCTTTGGCCGGATGAGCTTAAGTTATGGGTCAGCTTAGAATAGCAAATAAGCTAATTTTGCAGTTTTTTCACAATTTTTATTAGTCCGTTTAGTTTAATCTCATTACAAGCATAGTCTCCAGTTAGAATTTAGTTTCCTATTTGATGCATTCCCTCCATCCTTAATTTTTTGTCTCATTTCCAATATTTGGGTCAAATATTTAATACTTGACCATTAATTATCATTGATCTATAAGAGATGATATAGTAATGAGGGATTATGTTAGATTCATCTTATTATATATCTTATTTATATCAAATGTTCATACTTTTTATGCACATGTAATTAGATATAATTAGATATGTACATTTTAAAACGCGTTTTGAAGATCGAGAAAAGTTAAATAAGGTTATTATATAGGAATGTGAAGAGTAATATATAGTACTTTATTATTGTTATTTTTGTAACAATTTAGTTACCACTTTGTGTAAGTGATAAAGCCATTAAAAAGGAGCAAGGAAAAGAGACAGTGTTGAACGAGATAATATTGTGAAATAAAAAGCAACAAAATGCTTTTTAGATGTAATTAAGGAGAAGTGATCAAAGGAACAAAATGCTCTTTAGACAGTGTTGAAAGAGAAAGATAAGGGAATGAGAAACAAAGTAAGCAAAAAGGGGGAATTTCAACAATTAGATTTGGACAAGATTATTTTAATAATTATTAATTGTTATTAATTAACCAACGTGGTTATGTAACAATTATGAAAAAGTCAAATGATTAGTATCACCTTTAGCATAAAAATTTGAACAAGGTGATAGAATCGTGCTAGATTCATGAGAAAATAGTTTTTTAAATTTAATGTTTGTAAAACCGTAATAACATATAGTTTTAGAGAGAGAGAAGGAGAGAGAGAAAGAGAGAGAGAGAGAGAAAGGAGAGGGGAGGGAAACAGGAAGAGTAGGAGAGGGCTAGCAAGAGAGGGGCCGAGGGAAGAAGAGAGAAACAAAAAGAGGAAGACAGAGTAGAGAAGGAAAGGGAAAGATAGATAAAGAAAGAAAGAGGATAGGAGAAAAAATGAGGGGCCAGGAGAAAGAGAGAAAGAGGAAATCAGGAAAGAATATGGCCGGGATAAAAAGAAAGAAGAGCCATGAAAGATAGAGTTGGCAGGCCGAAAGAGAGAGAGGGCATGCAAGAAAAAGTAAAGGGCCGAGAGAGAGAAAGAAGGACTGAGAAGGAGCTGGGAAAAGAGAGAGAGATCGGCTGGAAAAAAGAAAGATAAAGAGGGGAGCTGAGAAGGAAAGAAAATAAGATAGAGAGAGGAATAGAAAGAGAAAGAGAAATAGGGCTAGGAGAGATAATAAGGTCGAAAGAGGAAGAAATAGCGATAAAGAGAGAAAGGGGCCGAGAGATTGGATGATAAAGAGGGAGAGGGAGAAAGAAAAGGGTTAGGAGAGAAGGAAAACGAGAGAGGGAGGTTGGAAGAAAGATGGAGATAAAGAGAAGCAAGGAGAGATAGAGGGAACATGGGGAGAGAGAAGGAGATTGGCCAGGGAAAAAAGATCAAATGCAACCTATAATTTTCAAAGCTTTTAGATGATGGAACAAGTAAAAGAAGGAATAGCAAAGAAAGTGAGAAAAAGAGTTTGGGCCAATAAAGGAAGGATTAAGTGAAAGAGGAGCAAGTGCGACCAATAATTTTCAAATCCATTAAAAAAAATAAGAGGGGGCATGGGAACAGGACTAGGGAGGAGATAAAGGGAAAGAGGGAGAATAAGTGTGTGTTTATATCACCTAAGAAAATCATGGCAATTATATTAATAAGAGAGAAAAATAACTTATTTAAATAGGATCAATTAGCTTTGGAGAGATGAGGGACCAATTAAGAAAGATCACATAAAAAATAATCAAGGCAATTAGCTTAGAATAAAGAGAGAAATATCACTTAAGAAAATCAGAGCAATACGCTTAGAAAAACACATTTAGCTTAGGAAAAGGCTTACGCTAAAATGCGAGAGAGATGGAAAGAGAGAGAGAGAGAGAGAGAGAGAGAGAGAGAGAAAGACCACTAAAGAAATATAACTTAAGAAAAATTAGGGCAATCAGCTTAGAAAAACATAATTAGCTTAGGTAGAGAGAGAGAGAGAAGAGAGAGCACTAATTAGCTTAGGAAAAGGCTTACAAAAATGATGGCCACATAAGCTAATTACATTTTCTTAAGCTAAGTTATTAAGAAAATCACTAGAGAGATAGAGAGACCACTTTAGAAATATCATTTGAGAGAAACCAATTAAGGAAAATCATTTAACAAATATAGAGATACCACTTAAGAAAGATCACTTAAGAAAATAAGAGCAATTAGCTAAGGAAAAAGAGTTACTAAATCCTAGAAAAAGAGAAAGAGAGAGATCACTTAAGAAGAAAGACTACTCAAGAAGAAAGGAAGATCACTTAAGATGAAAGATCACCTAGAAAGATCAATTAAGAAGAAATAACAATTAAGAAAAACACTTAATAAAAAAGGTAACTTAAGAAAAGAAATATCCCCTAAGAAAATCAAGAGACCACTTAAGAAAGATCACTTGAGAAGATCAAGACAATGAGGGCAATTAGCTTAAAATAGGGAGAGAGTGAGAAAGAGACCATTTAAGAATGAAATATCACTTAATTAAGAAAAAGGATCATTTAAGAAAACCGGGGAAAATATCTTAGGAAGAAGAGAGAGAGAAAGAGAGGGGGAGAGAGAGAGAGAGAGACCACTTACCAAATATCACTTTAGAAAATTAGGGTAATCAAATTAGGACAATGTGAAAGATCACTTAAGAAAAATCAAGGCAATTAGTTTAGGAGAGAGATTAAGAGACTACTCATGAAAGATTACTAAAGAAAGTTAGGGCAATCAGCTAAAGCAAAAGGCTTACTAATATGCGCGTGCGAGAGAGAGAGAGAGAGAGAGAGAGAGAGAGAGAGACCACTTAAAAAATAACTTAAGAAAATCATGGAAATAACTTATGAGAAAGAGAGAGACCACTTAAGGTAGATCATTTCAGAAAATCAAGTCAATTATTATATGAGAGAGAGAGAGAGAGAGAGAGAGAGAGAGAGAGAGAGAGAAGAGAGAGAGAGAGAGAGAGAGAGAGAGAGAGACCACTTAAAAAATAACTTAAGAAAATCATGGAAATAACTTATGAGAAAGAGAGAGACCACTTAAGGAAGATCATTTCAGAAAATCAAGTCAATTATTATATGTGTGTGTGAGAGAGAGAGAGAGAGAGAGAGAGAGAGAGAGAGAGAGAGAGAGAGAGAGAGAGAGAGAGAGAGAGATGCCACTTATGAAAGATCACTTAAGAAAATTAGGGCAATTAGTTTTGGAGAGAGAAAGACCACTTAAGGGAAATAGGGCAATTAGCTTAGGAAAATAGAGGATATGTACACAACAACAATGAGGGAAGAAGAGATAGGAAAAACTTAAAGACAAGTGATAAAAGGATAGGGGAAAGCTAACATGAATTGACTTTATAATATCAACAAAACCATAAAAACAATTTAGATATAAATTTAATTAATACTTTTATAGCAGTAAAACACCAAAAAAAAAAATACTTTAATTAATACTAACATATTTTTGTAAGTAAAATAGAGGAGGAAATATTGAATCTTTTTAAGAGAGCATTATTAGAGGCAATAATCTAAGGTATATTATGGTAATTGGTAACCATGGGGAATTTTTCTAGATTTCGCAAAAGGCATTGAATATGAAGAAAATTGTTAGATGCTAGGTTTTTATTTTTTATTTTATTTTATTTATTTATTTATAATAGGATTGTTTGATGCTAGAATTTATTAAATAGAATGTGTTATATGAATGAGTTTCAGTTCTTAAGTAAATAAATTGTAAAAAATTGTCACATATGAAAATTTAATATTCGTTTAGACTAATCCATAGTTTTAATCTAAGTGTTTTTGCTACTATTTTATTATTCCACTTAGGGGTTAGACATTTCGGGAAGAAATTGTTTAGTTGCGTAGATTAGCAAAATATTGTTGTGCTCAATTCGTGCAAAGTAATATGATTATATGATAACCAATTGTACTTTACAAGCTATACGACCATACTTATGATAATAGTTACCAATTTTTATGTGCTAAAGAAAGATGGGTCGTGAGAGAAAGAAGGGTAGGTAGAGAAAGAGAGAAGGGGAGGCTTACTAAAATGCTAATTTATTAAGAAAGATCACTTGAGAGAGAGAGAAAGAGAGAGAGAGAGAGAGAGAGAGGGAGCACTTAAGAAAGATCATGTTGGGCTTCATAGTGTCCAACACTACGCGGAAGAGAAACCCGCCCAAGACTCTCCCACTAATTAAAGCAACTAAACATGCAATCACATAATTAAACAACAAAAGAGAGAGAAAGAGAAAAGACGTTCTTACCCTCAAAGCGTGCTTCGCTCGATCACGATCTCTTACTTGAAAGCTTAACCTCGCAAGTGCGAAGGCCTCCTACGGCTCGCACCCTTGACCCGACCCGAGCGATCTTTATCCTGAAGGTTAGTCGGGACTTGACCAAATAAAAAACTAGAGTATTACGAACTTAAAGGTTTTCTCACTAATGATGAGATGCCTTATTGAGTTCAACTCAAGTGATTTTTCCCAAACCCAAAACTTGGGTATTTATAGGGAAGGGAGCCTTGATCTCCCTTCTTCCATCAATGTGGGAAATTTGCATTTTCCCTAAATTTTATTTTAATAAAAAAACAAAACGAAATGCAAGGCAATCAACAAGCTTCAAGTGTCATGTGGAGAGCATGGGTAGGTGAGGACCACCAAAAGGGGGGACCAAAGCACCTTGCTCCCCAAGCCAAACACCAAGAAAATGGTTCCCTCCCTTGACTAGGCTGACCACGCCACATGGCTGGCTGGCAGCCTGCCATGGCTGCCAAGGCTGCCAGCTGGCACCTAGCACCAAGGCTGGGCTGCCAGCTAGCACACGCATGCAAGCAGCAAGCAGGCCACACATGCGTTGCGAGTTGCTGTTGCGATGCGTGCTGCTACTGCTTGGTGCTGCTACACTAGTGAGCACGCATAGCACACGCATACACAACACGTTGCTGCGATGCTTGTGCTGTGCGAGTGCGCTGCTGCTGCATTGCTTGCTGTTGGGTGCGTGGCCAAGCACACTAGCACGCTAGCATGCTTGCGGCCAGCAGCACCAGCTATGCTAGCATGCTTGGCCTAGCACACAATGCATGTTAGGCTTGCGGCATGCTTTGCGATGCGCTTGGTAGCTTAGGCTAGCCTAGCACT